AGTTTAGTTTTTCCAATAATAATCTTAAAATATATTCTCTGTTGTTGATCCATACTCCAAAGTACAATATATATATGTAATTCCTTCTTAAATTTTGGCAAATGTAATTCATAAACCGGCCATGAGATGGCACCAGCAGCCAGCCAGCTAACATGACCTGATAAACCAGCGGTAAGCTGACCTGAACACACAAAAATTTGTCATTAAACCTTGAACCTGAGGAGATCTATCCATGGAAAATAACCGAGAACAAAGTGCACTGCCTACTTCAAGCATAAAGGTGACTGCTCTTTCCTCACAGCTGTACAGAAAAGATTACACATTTACTCTTTTTCTACTTACTAATTATTTTTCACAGATTCAGATTTCTCTTAAATATAATTAGATGAAATAGATAAGATCTCCTTTATTTTTCTGCGTTACAGAAAAATCAGATATATCAAACAAAACTACTGTTGTAAAAAAAATAGAAAACTAAAAGCTTAACTGAATATGAAAAATAAAGTAAAAGAAGTGAGCTAAAAGAACTACAATAAACACATTTTAGACGCAGTTTTAAATATAAAAACACAAGTTTATGGTCACTCTAATCATCTCCAAATACCACTTAGAGAATAGAATTACATCACGTGAAACAAAAAGGATACAAGATTTATATTTTACACTTTTATTTTTATTTATTTATTTTTTAAACATCTGGTATTTGTTTCAGCCCAGTGTCACACATTCACAACAGTTATCAGCAAGAATATGTCAGACAGCAAGCACATTAAATTAATGACACCCTTTATCTGCCTTTTAAATTTGCTTTACAGGTCCTGATAAAGGTGTAGCTCTTAAAGGGACAGTACACCCCAAAATCAAGTTGACCTCCTCTTCCTCTCTCCCACAGCTCTATTTAAACATATAGTTTTATTTTGGTCCGCTTTGCCCACATTTGGAAATATCAGCTGTAGAAAAGGGCCAGCTTTTCTCTTGAATATAATAGAATGAAATCATCTCGTGGTCCTCAAAGTGCCAAAAAAAAGTATCTTGAAGAAAAAATAACTCAACAGCCACTTCTTATTCATGAATTCATGACTGCAAGGCTACTTTAAAAACAGCTTTTTGTAAAAACAGTTTTCTTTATAATGAACAACACCCACCAAAAGAACATCACATGGACCTGTGATGAGGGTGTAAACATTAATACCATCCACCCTCAGCGGAGCTGCAAGTGTATGTGGAGTCTCGGGGAAATGTTTTTTTTCACTTCCTGTAATTCTACAGAATGTACCCGGACAGTACTTTTTGACTTTGCCCATTAATGATTTTATGTGTTGACACCAACTACAAGAACCTATTTACCAAAACTATTAATAATGTTTAAACAGGAATACACTCTTTTCTGTAGACAACCCCTACAGAAGCTCTTCCTCTCACCCGTGGGGAATATGAAGGAGAATGAAAGAGTTAACCCTTTGATGAGCTGATGTCAGGACCCTGATGTTGGCTACCTACACCCTTGTTTTGGTTGGTGGATGGAGAGAGTAGACAGAAAATAGTTCCTCCATAAAGCTTCCCAAAACAAGCTTTGTGGATTTATTTATCTATTTACTTTTTGTAGTTACATAATTTCTTAAAGAGACACTCCTGCAGTTTATCAAAGGTTAGGATTTTCTGATACAAAAATCCAGAGGATCTGAATTTGGGGTTAACTGTCCTTTCTAATGTTGTAAATTTTGTTGAGCTTTTAAAGCAGGATTTTCAATGTAGTTGCTGTAACATGCAACTGGATATAATACACAAGGTAATGGGATCAACCAGCTTTACAGTGACTAAGCACATTCAGAGATCTCCAGCCCGGATGACGTACTGTTTTGTGTCTCGTTAGTCTGGGCAGAATAACGCAGGTGAGATAAGGCTGAGTTGGTTACGTTTAATGTTTCCCCAGGAGACCACAGGCATGTTTATGTGCTTTATTTTTCAAGGATTTTGAAAAAAGGTCATTTAATATGAGCAGTACACGTTTAAAGCATGTGCCGTCTCACACGCTCTGTCTAGCGAACACAAATATGACAGAGTATCCTGCCGTGGCCCAGTTTCAGCGCATGAAGTCAAAACAAACAGCTCCTCTGTTGTTAGGCAGAAGGCTGAGTGAGTAATGACCACACAGGATTTGTTAATCACCTGATAAGATCTTGCAACCAGACCAAGTGTATCTAGCCATCCCTGGAACACATACAGATGAGACCTGCTGCCAAACTAAGAGACAGGTGGAGGGAAACACCAGACAAGCAGCATCAGTTACACAATAAGAGCCCCAGAAGAATCAGTGGTCTTAGTGGACTGTAAGATGAGATATTATGAGAGCAGTCAAAGAAGTCTGCCTCAACAAAACCTTCCAACAAAACTAAAGTCACAAAAGATTTTAAGCTGCTTTTATTATGTCTAATTTCTGACGCTGCACAGTTTTTATGACCCAGTGCCCACGGAGTTAATTTAGATAGTACTTCACATTAGGTACATAAATAAGTGCCCAGAGGAGCAGAGACTGTAACACAACATCAGGTTATATAATCATGGTTATGATGGAACATAATGTGCTGTGACAAACCTGTGATAGAGCTCAATGTGATGTGGTGTAATCAATTTTTATGTAACATGATATCACATGACAGCACATACAGTATGGAAATATGTCATTTGACAGG